TTAAGATTCTATTTTTAAGTAAGCTCTGCACCCAGTGTGGGGCTTGAACTCATAACCCCGAGGTCAGGAGTCACATGCTGTACAGATTGAGCCAGCCAGGTGCCCCAAAACTGGACTATCTTAAAAGAAAATGTGAGCTATTAAATCTTTCCCTCTTAAGAGAGTCAGACATGTTTGATGTTTTATTTAGAATGTTTTAAGTAATTTATTATCTTCAAATGGTTAATATTCTTCAAATATGAAACAAGTTGAATGAAAATATTTTTAGAAAGGGGTGGGGCAGAGAGTGAGGGAGAGATAGAATCCCCTCCGTCCTGTCCGTTGAGAGCCCGATGATGGGGCTAGATCCCATGAATCGTGAGATCATGATGTGAGCTGAAATTGAGCCCATCGTTTAACCAACTGAGCTACCCTAAAATATACCTGTTTTTAAAATGCAAGTCACATGTTTCTTCTTTGCTCAAAAAGTGTTATTCCCACTCTTGATATCAGCTCAGGTCATGATCTCTTGGTGGTGAGATTAAGCACCCCATTGGGCTCTGTGTTGAATGTGGAGGCTGCCTAAGATTCTCCCTCTCCCTCTGCCCCTCCCCAGCTTTTGTGTACTCTCAAAAAAAGCTACCTCCAGATTTCCTTTTTAAATGTAAAGTTTTATACATATTTTTTTCATCTCACTCTAAATGACTTAATATTAAATATTAGTTGACTTGCACATCACTATTGGGAATCCAAATTCTGTCTAATTAAGATGAACCAAAATCATTTTCCTGGCTTCTCTCTGTATTTGCAATGGCATTGTTCATTAAAGAACAACAAAATCCGTCATCCCAGTAGTGGCTGTTAGGTTGGATAGCATGGAAAAGAAAGATGTAGACCTTTGTTTTAGAGAATGTTAAAACTAGGTATCCTTTCCAACTTTGAATTATCTTTTTTTATGTTTAAGCATTTGAGGGTAAGGACACAATCCTAGTTTTCCAAACCATTAACCAAAGGGAATGCCGACTAAACTAAAGTTTAGTATAAGAAGAAAAGGCCTAGAAGGAACCAGGATAGCTGTCTTCCCACATCTGAAGTGGAATAATTTGGGTTTTTTGTTTTTGTTTTTGTTTTAAAAAATAACCTCTATGCCCAGTGGTGGGGCTTGAAATTAGGATTCTGATCCTGAGATCAGAAGTAGCATGTTCTACCAACTAAGCCAGCCAGGTGCCTCTGAGGTGAAATTTTTCTTAAAGCAGATTATCTTACATAACACCAGAGGACAAATTAAAAACCTTTACATGGATATTATGGCAAGGCAGATTTCTATTTACAAGAAAGTACTACTTCATATATTTTTTAGAGGTCCAAAGAGCACATGGACAGCATTAGGAGTTCATGAATTTTTCAGCACTGGAAATGTCCAAGCAAAGCAAGAAAGGTATTGGAAATATTAGATGATTTCCTGCATTAAGAGGAGGGTAGGCTCTTCTACCTTAGAACTAGTGTTTTTATCAACATCCAGTTGTTCCCTGTTTTACTTCTACTTGAATATAGCTTGAATTTCTAACAAGCTCATCTGAAACCTAAATATTACACTTAATCTTCCTCTTCCACATAAAGCCATACTACTTATATTTGCTATGCATCTAAAAAACAGCTATTTTCAACACAAGTGATTCAGAGTGAGATTAAATTGGAGGAACTGGTTAAATCACTAGATCCTTCATCCGCTACCCACGTCTCCCTTCACAGGTTTCAGAGGAGGGATTTGATCAAGCCTAACTCTACTCAAGTGTAAGTATGCACATTTTAAATCCTATGGTATTACCTATGTTTATTTTTTACTAAATACAAAAACTTCTTAGATATTTCAGAATATAGCAGAAAATGGACCTCATAATCTGGCACTGTCAAGTATGTGTATAGTTTTACTGGGTACCCTTGTTGCCTCTTCATCTCATGCGAAGATTAAATTAGGGCCTTTGCTTATATTAGGTACTCAGTAGTAGGCCCATTTATCCAAAGACAAATGCTATCTCTGTTAGCCACTATGCTAGGAGGCGCTCTCCATGTTTTTGAATTAATAAAAGACCTTTGATTTGACTATGTACTGTTAGATACCAATAGCAAAGTTTCCGAAGAACAAAGTCACCTTCGAATAAAGATCAGAATCAAGAATCTTCTAGTCCAACCCTTTCACAAGAGGAAGAGGAAACAATGTAAGAACATTAATTATTTATGTCAAAGTATTTACTATTAAATGTTGGGACCACAACCGCTTAGCTCTTGCTTTCTAATTCCAAAGCTCATTTCCCTTTTACTACATATACGTATGTATTACCTCCCATAGAAGTTCACTGTCATTAACATGAAAGGTAACAGGTGATAAGAGTTTAGGAAATCTAGCCATACTTCTACTGTATTATGAATGTACTAATATGAAGTGATTGTGCTTTTTGCTTCCCTTCCTCAACTGGAAACAAATGCTATATGCAAACAAATCTGAACTTAAAGATATTTTTAATAATCATTCTTTACTATTTCAAACCAAATGCAGTCTTTGGTTGCATCCTTTCCCGCTTAATGTTGAGTTAGGTGATATTTAAGGTCCCTTCCTGTTTTAATGATTAGAAATATAGAAAGTAGTATGTAGTGTTCTCAATAACAACTATATGTTCAATATAATAGGTAAAATTTATGGACAGGAAAAAATAAAAATTAAAAAAATAAATTTATTTTGAATTTAAAATTCTGAGACTAATATTTAACATTCACCATAAAGCATGGCAAGAAAGTTAGTTTCTTGGTATCAGCAAGCTGGAAATTACTGACGTAGCTCAACTGTAAGTCATTTCAGTCAAGACTAAATAAAGCAGAAACAGTTTTCTATGACAACAAATTTGTTAATTGCATAAGCTGAATGAAAAGATAAAATTTTCTATATAGTGTTCTTTGTTGGATCGTTCATGCTTTCATTCATGTTTATTCTTATCTAAGTATTCTAGTGGCAAACATCTAAAACCCATCAAGGAGGTGAATTTTAATGAGAAAAGGTGATGATGCAATATTAATTTTCTGTCCTATGTTCTTTAGTTATTTAAGAGTGTATAGTGGCAGTTTGTTGTTGAAAAACTTCACAATGTGCCAATATTTAAAACAGTGTATAAACACTTTCTCAACATGCTCTAAATTCCTCTCTACTCCTAGGATACCAAAGCTGTCCTTATGATAATTCTTTCTGAAATCTTTTAATAAAAATATACATATGAAATTGTATATTGCAGCTTTAACATTAGTCACAGGGCTTCTTGAATACTAATGAGAACAAATTATGGAAAACAATGGTTTTAATTTTATTTTTGTTTTGAAAAGAACGTCAAGGATTGGCCATGATTCTCCTGAAAACATTGCTGCAGACAATGATGTACACCAAATAAGTTGGTCTGGTTCTGTGTATCACATCTGTAATCTTAATTTTAATTGGTGGTGAACCAGGCAAAGAACTTTTATTAAAATCTGCCTCTGCCCTCCAGAAAAACAAGATGCCAAGTCTCTTCAGAGCTTAGCATCTCTGAGGTTCCCAAGCGTTCTTACCACTGTTCTAACTTAGAGAGTCAATAGTGACTCATTTTCAGAAACTGAGGGGCTTACTGAATGTTAGAAATGGGATACGGCAGCTCCAACTCAAGTAAATGAAACTAATAACAAACACCATGTTCCATTAAGGATAAAGTAGAAATTTATTTAATGTGGGAAGACTTATGATATGTTTGACTTTCCATAAGAAAGACATGAAGATGTTGAAAGGGTTCAGAAAAAAAGAAAAGCTAATTAAAAATAGGAAATAAGGGGAAAAGTAAATGTTTAAAGAACAGAAGGCTAGATGGCAACAGTTTCTTCATATATTTTAATTATAAGGAAGGAGAGTGACCTAATGCAGAACTGGGGGTGGGGGTGGGGGATGGATTTGAAAGCCCTTAAGATTTTAAGTTAAATTAAGGCAGAATTTTCTGATACTTGGAGACCATCTTCAGTTTTGAGGCAGAGGGCTCATCTACAGAACTCTTTGAGCTCTGGAATCACTGAAAAATTAATCATATTTATTAAATTATCTTTGGGCATCCCTATCCCTGTGTTTTAAGACCACTGATAAGAGTTAATTCTGCCTCAGGATTAAGTTGCTCAGCATACCAAGGTAGAATAATTGGATCTTGTTATCTGCTCACTGCCACCTCAGATCTTAGGCTGGCTTGAGCGTTCTTGAAAAGAAAGATTATAACCTGCAGTAGGAAAAAGATTCGGGCCAGAGATATGTGATCTAAGGTTAAGCTGCTTCAACTATTAAATTAAATTTCCCTTTCACATAGTGGAATCACCAGCAATTGTCTTCATTCCAACGGAAAGGGAAGAAAATCACATAATTCTTAGGAAAGAAGGAAATCTATTCTCTCAAAGCTTGAAAGGTATTAAAGTACAAGGTTTGTCTTCCTGATTTGGAAGTTTTCCAAACCCTGGGTCTTCTTAATTTTTTCAGAAAAACACTTAGGGCCCTTCCTGTAATTTAAACTTGTTTTGCTCCTTCCTTGGAAATACTGTTACCTACCACATAAAGGAATGAGTACTTCAAAGTAACATATCAGAACTGCAGTTGAAAGATACTTAATACCAGTTAAGTAGTAACATTTGAAATCCAAGAAAAAGAAGTCAAGAATTCCATGATTCGGTGTTTCCATATTCATCAGAAACATAACTGAATTTAATTAAGAGTATATCCATTTGGGACTTGCAAATCAGGTGAACGATATGATTATATACTTTGCAAAGAAGTGAACATTTTGATTCTTCAAAATGTAGGTCGAGCTAGTTCTCAAGTTGGATATTATGATAGAAGCGTGGCTTGGAAAAAGATAATCTTTAAGGAAAAAAAAAAGGGTCATGAAAAGAATGGAAGCCGAACGTATGCACAGAAGAGGAGGGGGTGGAAGAATGAAGAGAGGAGAATGCAGCTCGAGAAACGGTACCTGTCCCAAAGCGGGGGGGTCTGCGCGCCGCTGCCGCCTCGCACAGCGCTCCCGGGAAGTGCATCTACGAATTCCGGGTGGGCCAGGGTGGCAAGGTTCCTAAGGAAGGAAACAACAGAAAGGATTCTGTTCTCGGGAGTCCGGGAGCGAGGGGACCGTCCTGAGAGGGAAAGTGGTGTCTCCATTCAGGGCGGCAAAGGTGTGCACCTGTTTCCTTCGGTCCCTACTCAGTCAGCCCCAGCGTCGCAACAGATCGAGCTGGAGTCCACCCGGCTGCCGGACACCTAAGTTTCCGCTTGGTTCAGCCAGGACCCAAGCCGCGAGTTTCCGTGGTCTTGCCAGTCGCAGGCTCCCGCCCCACGCGCGATGCCTCCACCGAAAAGTCCTCCTGGATTAGCCTGTCTCACCCCTACCCTGGCGCCCTCAGGCCCGCGCCGAGGCGGCTGGGAGAGTAGGACCCTCCGGCCGGACAGTTGCAGCGCTCGCTGGGCGCGGAAGCGGGCGGGTGGTGGCGGCGGGTCACGCCCCCCGCCCCGCCGCGAGCGGGGCCGCGCGCGCGCCCAGGCCCGGGAGCGTGTGGCGGGGATCTCCCCGGGGCGCGCCCAGCGCACGCCTCCACCCCGGGGCTTGCTCCGCGTCTCCGCGCGGCGCCGGCCACCCGGCCGCGGGCTGGCTCTGCCTGCGGGCTGACCAATCCCCGTTCGGAGTTCAAGATTCCCGCCGCCCCGCTCGCACTACGCCCTCGCTCCCTGTTTTCCGTTTCTGTTTTTGTTTCAACTTTCCCTCGGGTTCAGCTCGATCGGTCCTCAGCTTTCATCTCGGACGTCCCTTCAAGGGGGGGGTTTAAAGAGGATTTCAAAAGGCAGCCGCCGCTCCCCTCCGGAGCTCGCCCGCCCCTCGCCCACGGGAGACGCCCCCGGGCGGGCGGGCGGGCGGGGTGGGGAGGCCCCGGGCGGCGGCGGGTGGGGCCGGGCGGCGCCGCCTCCCGCCCGGGGGAGCCCCGCGGCTCGGCCCGGCCCAGCCGCGCCTGCCCTCGGGGCAGCTGCCCGGAGAGCCTGCGGAGCGGCGGCCGGCGGGCGATGGCGACGCGGGGACCCCGGGCGAGCGGAGGCGGGGTGGGGGAGGCGGGGAGAGCGCGGGGGCGGAGGCTGGCAGGGGGCGCTGGAGGCAGGAGCCGCCCGTGCGCTCCGCGCGCCCGAGGGTGCAGGAGGCTCTGAAGCGGCGGTCGCATCGCGAGCCTCCGGGGCCCGGCTGGCGGCGGGGCTGGGGGGGGGGCGGGGCGGGGGGCGCTGCCGCCGCCGGGGGCGTCGCCGGCCTCGGCCCCTTTGTTCTCGCGCGCTCCCCCTCGCCGCCCACTCCCCTGCTGTCGCGCGGCGGCGGCGGCGGCGGCGGCGGCGGCGGCTCCTCCCGCCCGAGGCAGTCGGGCTCGGCGCCGGGGGCGGGAGGGGGCGGGGGGAGCGCGCCAGCCGCCGGGAGTGGGGGGCGATGGCGAAGCTCCGGGTGGCTTACGAGTACACGGAAGCCGAGGACAAGAGCATCCGGCTCGGCTTGTTTCTCATCATCTCCGGCGTCGTGTCGCTCTTTATCTTCGGCTTCTGCTGGCTCAGTCCCGCGCTGCAGGATCTGCAAGCCACGGCGGCCAACTGCACGGTGCTGTCGGTGCAGCAGATCGGCGAGGTCTTTGAGTGCACCTTCACCTGTGGCGCCGACTGCAGGGGCACCTCGCAGTACCCCTGCGTCCAGGTCTACGTGAATAACTCCGAGTCCAACTCCAGGGCGCTGCTGCACAGCGACGAGCACCAGCTCCTGACCAACCCCAAGGTAAGGACGCCCTGCGAGACACGCCTGGCTCCTGCGGAGGTCTTGAGGCTCGGAGGAGCCTCGGGGTCCGACGCCGCGCGGGGCGGGCTCGGAGGGTCTGCATGCTCGCGTCCTTAGGAGGAGACGGGCCGTTTGGAGCCTCAGTGAGCACAGCCGGGAGCTCCGGGGCCCGGTCCTTCGGGTGCGTTCGTTTGCGGCGACCGCTGATACCCCGAGGCTTGCTTTACACATTGCTCTCGCCTGGCCTCGGGTTTTGAGACCTTGGCCCAGCTCAGCTCAGTCCGGCGCCTACAGGTCGGACTTCGGAGACGTGCAAGGAGCGGAAAGTTAACTTTTCCTCCTGTTAAAGCCAGTGGGTAGCAGGGATCCACCTACACTCGGGCGCTCGGTCAAGGTCTGAGCTCCCACGGGCCGCGTCAAGCACTCGCCTTGGGAGCTCGGGGAGGTCTTTCGGCCCCTTGGAAGATGTTAGAGGGTTCCTCGCCTTTTAAGTCTAAACAGACGTTTTTAACTTGGGGTGCAAAGATGAGGGTCAGCAAACGGCCTGGAAATCACATGCGAAATTCCGGACAGGTCTGTTTCGGGGGTTGCGGAGAGCTCCTGGTTTTCAGGAAATAGATTCTCAAAAGGGTCGGGAGGAAGCCTGGTGATTCTGCGGGTCCAGGGACGATCCGGAGCCATCTGGAGAACGGTAAAACTTACTGAAAATAGAAAACCCTTCGTGATATGTACCGAATATTCCTTCCCTGGCAACTTTCTCTCAAACAGTAAAGAAAAAACCTGGTTAGGACTCGAGGGATGGATAGCGGAGAGAGGGAGACTCAGAAAACTGTTCCCAGTGGAGAAAAAACTTATAAAAAGCAGTGTCCTCGGTCTGTGAACTAATTGAGCTTTGTAGTGAACCTGGTTCTGCCAGAAGGATTTTCTTTGTTTCTTATCTGGTCCATTTTTACTATTCTTGTCGCTTAACTGTGGAATGAAAGTGTGTGTTTCTTCTTTAAAGGTACTGTCGTTCTCTTGGCGAGGGCTCTGCAGAAAAACAAAAGGGAATGAGTCTTGGATGCACAGGAGAACTTTCCGTTAAACGTGATAAGATACGTAATCCAAAAGAAAAAGAATTTTTTATTAGCATTTTAAGAGTACTTCAACTTACCATTTCTGTTCAGTAAAACTCTGGGTCTTGTTTCCTAAACAAACAGTAAGTTCTTGAATTGGGGACATTTTAAAAAAAGGAATTCCTTAAAAAATGACTTCTCTTTAAAAAAAAAAGATGTGCCTGCTGACAAATGTGTATTCTTTTACCTTAAAAGTGAAGATAATATAAAAATACGGACTTAGACAAGCTATAATGTTCAGTGTCTTGAAGAAGCAATGTCTGGAAAACAAATACAAATTAATCTGCTTAAAGCTCAGGAAGGATTTCAAAACTAATCTTAGGGTTTTAGAAATAATCACTTTTTTTTTCAGGATTAGCCATTAATATAAAAGAAGAATTTAGAAATTATATGGTAGTTCACCATTTAGGGGGCATTATTATGATTGGTGAAACACTGCTAATTAAAGATTGTAGTTGAGGCACTAATAATAAATTACATACACATATACCAGTAAGTAGCTAATATCTGATCAAGACCTTGAGAAGTTAGAATTTACTGCCAAAACCCGCTTTGTAATTTCCAGGCAATTTTGAAGGATCTGGCAGAAGAAGTAAATTGGGATCATTAGGACATAGATTTTTAAATCACTTGGAAGCAGTCATAATGCTTTATGTAATACTACAGTTTTATCTCTCTGTCTCTCTTTGTTGCAAATAATTTGTTTTCTTCCAGTGCCAGTTGAGATCCCAGCAACAACTGTTTTTGAAGAAGTATCTGATCAGAATGACATTTTATAAAGTAAAGTATTCAAGAAATGACAGAACTGGAGAAAGATATTTATGTTACCAAAAAAAAAAAAAAAGATGAACAACAAGCCAGTCAATTTAGTCAAGGTTTCCTTAGCCAAACCAGTATACATCTCTTTATTCAAATTACGACTACATTATAGCATTTATAGAATGTGAGTTTGTTCTTTTGCAGTCACCTTTCCACTTTTGGGCAATTAAATGCTCAATTTGGAAATTCTTGCAAGCAAGTAGTGATGGAAAAATTCAACATAACCGAAATAGTGTGCTGGCACCCGGTGCATGGGCAGAATGTATCCACAGTGCCCTTGTAACTAGGCAGTCCCCATTGCCCATCCCTGTTGCCTCTTGGGTGCCTAGGTCTTTTCTCTGCCTTGCATCACCTCCTTACTGAATGCCTGGGTTCCCCGCCTATTCCCTTGTAAAATGTCTGGATTCCCTTCAGTGCCAAAGATCCTAATCACCTTCAACCTTCTCTTCTTCAGGACCCACTCCCTACAAGAAACTATTTAGGAAATCACTTCTTAGAAAAAACAAAGAACGAGGACTTTCTCCCACCCCTCCGTTGAGTTTGCTGCATTAATTACAGTAAAGGACAAGGGAAGGGAAAGAATATTGCACATGTATAACTTCTTAGCCACAGATTGCTAAAGAAGATAGTATGAACAAACGTGACCTTTGACTAGTACTGTCTTTAAGAGATCTTTAAGTGCTATTCAGCTTATTTATATTTTGAGACATATCCATATTGTCAAGAATAATCACTCTTGTCGGGGCACCTGGGTAGCTTAGTCGGTTAAGCGTCCGACTTTCGCTTGGGTCATGATCTCGCGGTTCGTGGGTTCGAGCCCCGCGTTGGGCTCTGTGCTGACTGCCAGCTCAGAGCCTGGAGCCTGTTTCAGTCTGTGACTCCCTCTCTCTCTGACCCTCCCCTGCTCATGCTGTCTCTATCTCTCTCCTAGAAATAAATAAAAACATAAAAAAAACAAAAAAAAGAATAATCACTCTTGTCTATCCAGCCACGTAATATAGTATTCAAGGGTACAGGTTACACATAGGACAATGACCTGCTTAGTGATTCAACCATAGTGAAATCTAAATGTGGGATCCGCCTTCCTCTGGCTACTATTGCCATCACTGCCTTGTTTCTGAGGGGCTAGCAGTTGTGTGAGCTAAGAGCTTTGGTTCTTAACCATGGCTGCACATTAGAATCACTGGGGGAGGGTCTCCAGGGTAGCTCAGTCCCTTAAGCATTGGACTCTTTTTTTTTTTTTGATGTTTTATTTATTTCTAGGAGAGAGAGAGAGAGACAGCGTGAGCAGGGGAGGGTCAGAGAGAGAGGGAGTCACAGACTGAAACAGGCTCCAGGCTCTGAGCTGGCAGTCAGCACAGAGCCCGACGCGGGGCTCGAACCCACGAACCGCGAGATCATGACCTAAGTGAAAGTCGGACGCTTAACTGACTAAGCCACCCAGGCGCCCCCCTTAAGCATTGGACTCTTGATTTAAGCTCCGGTCATGATCTCACAGGTCATGAGATCAAGCCCTGCATTAGGCTCTGTGCTGGGCATGTAGCCTGCTTAAGATTCTCTCTCTCCCTCTCTCTCTGCCCCAGCTCTGCTCATGGGCTCTCTCTCTCTCTCTTAAAAAAAAAAAAAAAAGTCACTGGGTGAACTTTAAAAAGGAATTCTGATACTTGGGTCCCACCCTCAGAGACTTGGACTTGGTCTTGGGAGAGTCCTGAGAGTTGGTGTGTTTTTTTGTTTGTTTTGTTTTTGTTTTATTTTTTATTTTTTAAATATAATTTATTGTTAAATAGGTTTCAAGTTGGTAAAGTTCTGCAAGTGGTTCTCATGTGTAGACAGAGTCAGAAACCAAAAACATACTCATGTAGTGTGCAAGAAGGTAAAATAAGAAATGAAAGGATTCAAAATTGTGATTGTGTGCAAGAAGGTAAAATAAGAAATGAAAGGATTCAAAATTGTGATTGTGTTTTTAGGTTTAAAGATGTTACTGATTAGGAAGCTGGTATGAAAGGAGGGACTCAAGGAAATTCTGAGGGAAAAGAAAGTTATTTAACATTAGTGTGGAAACGGTCGTTTAAAATTGGTTCAGCATAAATGGAATGAATTTATGCAATTCCAGACATTTGCTTTTGCATCAATATATACATTGGGTGTCAGGGAAAAGATGAATTTTTAAAACTCTCTCTTCTTTGTGCAATAAGAGAGTGAGTGATTAGAGGCTATGTGTTTTATTTTTGTTTTGAGGTTTGTTTTTTTTTTTCTTTCATTCTCTGGTCTTAGAAACTTAGACACAAAGGGAAAAAGTCTATTCCTAAGAAACTGACATTGTAAAAGTGAGAGAAATTCACTGAAGAGAAGAAAAACTTTAGACTTTGACTGTATCCTCTGAAACTGGATGTCCTTAACTGTGTCCTTGCAGTCCCTTTCTTGGTATCCTTCACATATACACTGGCATGTCCCAAAGCCCCGTCCTCTGCCCCCCAGCCACACATCCTGTGTAGACAGTGTCATCTGCTGGGGGTGATTTCTGAACTCCATCCTGGAAATAAATGTTCAGTATGATCTACTTTATACTCTAGGGAGGTGTGTCACATCAAAACTAAGTAATCAAAGGCTAAGCTGAATTGTGATGATTTCTCTATAATCTTTATTTCTCTGGGGCACCTGGGTGGCTCAGTCGGTTAAGCATCCGATTTCAGCTCAGGTCATGATCTCGCGGTTTGTGGGTTCGAGCCCCGCGTCAGGCTCTGTGCTGACAGCTAGCTCAGAGCCTGGAGCCTGCTTCAGATTCTGTGTCTCCCTCTCTCTCTGCCCCTCCCCCGCTCACACCGTCTCTGTCTCTCTCTCAGAAATAAATAAAAATCATTAATAAGAAAAATTTATTTCTCTATGATCAGGCTGCTTGCTGTGGTTATTCCTCTGGTGATTACATTAAATAACCTGGCAAGTATGTAAAATTCAATTCCTCCAATACTTACTTAGCATCTGTGACCAGAGAATGGAGCAAGAAACAGGAGCACATCTTAGCATCTTATGATCAAGAACTGGGCAAGAAATAAGGACATACAGGGG